TTCTCGTCAAAATCATGAGAGATCTAGTGTAGGTCACACAGTATACGTACACATTAACATACCTACTGATAAATGTATAATCTCAAAAACAATATTACAGCAACAACAATAACAACAACATCAAGCCTTTATCCCACTATGTGGGGTCAAAAATAGTACCACAAGTTATTCAAGTTATTTACCTTGAAGTATTTGGCTCCCATCAAATCATTAGCAAGCTAGTCTTTTTTTTTTCTCTTCCAAGAATGGATGTGAGAACTACTACTCAAGCCTCATTCAACGCTCACTCCATCCCCTTTGATTCTTCTACTTATGATAATTGAAATTTAACTCGGATCAATTTTTGATAATATGGCCACAATGTGTTCGGGTCCATTTGTTGGTTTCAATGGTATGAGGCTTATCTCAGGGTGTGTGCTTTGATCGTCGTTTTAAATAATGCTTCCAATATAATGTATATTTATGTTGACCTCGACTCATATCTCTGAAATCCTGCCATAATCCAGCATAAATCATGCTCAAATCCTGCGTACCTGTTCGGCGCTAAAAACGTCTCCTCCCATGATTCTTGCTTGTCCTACAGGCCGCGCATCCAACGACCCCTTGGCTATTTAGAATGCGAGCAAATGGTAGGTTGAAGCTTCTTCGATTCAATTCTCCCAATCCTGCCTCCTGCTCTTGCCACAAGCTTTCTCGCTACCCTCATTCTCTCTATCTTTCATGTAGCGATCCCAACTTTCTCTTCTTCTCTTTAGTCTAGTTTAATCTAGACTTCTTTGCAGACACCATAACTTTGCCTTTTTTCCTCTTCCAATCTTCTACTCTTTCCGCATCTATCTCCTTAAATCCTTCATAGTTTATGATAGAAGAAAGTTGAATCATATTTAACTCTATTTAATGTTGTGACTTCCTTTTGCATCATCAAGAGCTTGCAAGTAGGAGTAAAACTAGGGTTTGATGGTTTCGGGTTTGTGCAAAGAAGAGTTCTTCATCATTCTTTTCACAAAGTCCTCTTCTTCTTTACTCATTGTTGACCCCATTTGTTTCCCTCTCGAGCAAGTTTAGGCTGCATCATCTTGCTCACTCACAATTTGTTGGTGTCTTTATCTGCGAGACCACATTACAAGTTCATTCTCTCTAACATTGAGGAAGAGCATGAGTAAGGGAGCTTATGTGGGCTTGTTTAGGGCTTGGGGGTGACTACAACACATGCAAGCGAGAAGGGCTCTTTGAGGATCGTCGTGTAAGAGAGCTGGAGTTTATGAGTGTGAGGGTAACAGGGATAGAGGAACATGCAAAGAGTTGATATAGAGTCGGATGCGAATCCAATTAAAAGAATTCATATTTTTTATTATGACATATGGTCAGATGAGACTTGACCAGGATATCACTTACAGGGATGGATTGTAACCTCCATTATGCTAGATTTGTGGGATTTCAACATAGCTGGGATTTTTTTATTGGTTACGACGTCAACTATTATGATGATGATGATTGTTATAATAATAGTAGTAATCATAATACTTGTATTGGCTCGTCCTCCCATGTTGCATCAAATTCACATTTTGTCTTGTGTGTGGTTAATTTTTCATTTCATTTTTGTGTGGCGGATAGCGCAATATGGGTGTCCTTTTGAAGTACTTTTGATGTTCAAGGTGTGTTGGCTCAGTTTTGATATAAGAGAATGCTGGATGACTTTGATTTTGGTCGATATCTTTTGTACCAGATTTGCGTGATTTAAGTTTGTCCTCCATTTTTTTCACCATGTTTGATTGGGCTGAATTGCAGAGCAATTATTGAGGTCAACATCAATTCCTTGTACTTTAATTTTCTCCTCTTCTTTTTCATCTTCTTTATCAAAATCCATGAAATTGTTATTATAGGCAACTACAAATTGGAATATAATTCTCTCAACTACCTTTAGAGCTGAGAACACAAACTCTTAGCAATTCCTCCAAAGTCTAAATTGTACATTTTCTATGCTTATTTCCCCGAGGGTAAATTGTTCTACTTAAATGTAACCTTATGCCAAGAGCCTGACCTTCTATTATAGTTTGGAAGTGAATCTCTCATTACAATGGTTACCCTTGGTGTGATTTGCAGTTGATACACTTGCTAATTTGCATACGGAGTACCTCTTCTTGATAGGTCAGAAATGGTCTTACTTTGAGATTTTTTTGGCCAATACCCACACACCATCTTGAACCTATCGAGACCCTAGTATAGCAACTATGAAATTCATGATAATCTTATCCCACTCCCATCCCAAAATAAGAAGAGATTACAGTATTTCATTAGCCTTCTAGTTTTTACAATTGAATATCTGACTAGTTGAGCACTTAGCCACAAAATAAGCAGCATTCTTCATCATGAAGGGTCACTAAAAAAGCTCCTTTTGGTTTTGATTTATCTTGGCATTCATCCAATGAACAAAATACATAGTAGTTTGTCCTTCTCATCATATCTCTGGTCAAACTCCTGTCTGATATTTTCTTTTCTATAAAACAACCCTCATATAACTCTATGATATCTATTACGGAGCATAATTCTGTGTTAACCCTTAAAATGCCTCTCATTTCATCATATATCCGTGAAATCCCTTTTGCTTCTTAGAAAAAATATTTGAAATCTTTGTAGATGCTTCTAGTTTGATCTGAATTTCTTCAACAGGTGGTGATATTACTTAGTGTTGATGGTACATAAGCTTTTGTCCTAGGCATGCACTTCAATCTTCTTTAAGATTTGGCCCTAGGCATGCTCTTTGACCTTGTTTGCCTTAGGCACGTAATCAAGAATCCATGTAGACATCCTTCTAGTCTTGCATGGATTATTTGCCCCAAAATTGTTGGCTCAAGCAACAAGGTTGGGTTAGTTAACTTGCATGAGTTGCTTTAGTGGCCTATTACAACCTTTTTGCTACAGCTACTAGGATTTGCAAAAATGAATGATGAGTGTGGGGGTGAACAGGAGTTATACTTTCTTTTAGTAATCCAGACAATCATTGAGTTGATAGGTACTGCTTTGCGGTTCAAATAGTTAAAGTAAGGCGCTTGCTAGTTTTTGCTAGTTTTTGCTAGTATTATTTCATTAATAAATTATGGGTATCTAAAAGTTAAACAAAAATAGGGTAGTGAAAAGTTAGAGAAAGAAGCAAAAAAGAAATGCTATTTGCTCTAGTTCCTTCTCCCTGAGCACCTCATCAAACCCTTTGTTGTTGTGGCTGGGACATCTCTTTGCCATTATATCCTTGGTGGTTGCATACTTATGCCATGTGCTTCAGACTTGCTGAGCCCTGTGATTTTGCTATATAGTAAATTTTTCCATGGTGCCCAGAGAAACTGTAGCAAGAGGAAACAATGGCAATATGCAATAATCACAAACTTGCAATCCTGCTGGGAGGGGAGTGCATTGTACATGCTCAACAACTTTGGGCAATTAAAAGCACCCACGCTCTGATACTTCCATGCATTGCATTGTTTTCGGCCTTGAGATCAGCGAAGACAGGCTGATTGCTTAATGCAGAAGACTGTCCTCTCATTCAATCTCTCTACTTGATAAATGTCTTTCAAATTGGTTGTTGAGAACTGATGTTTCACGTGAATAATGCCAAATCTGACACTGCTGTGCCAGGGAAAATAAGGGAGATGACAACAAAGGTGTTCTCCTTAGGGTTTTATGATGGAGATGGCCATGGGAGCAAAGTCGCCACTGGTTGTTGTTGTGGATTTGTAGCTCAAACCAAGGCTGTCGGAGATTTATGTTTCATCGCTGATCAGAAGTTGCTTGAACCAATTGGTTTCACGTTCTAGCTCATCAGTCGATCAATTCATTTGATTTTAAGTAGCTGATTTAGGTAGCGGACGTTTTTAGGAGGTATATATCCAGTTCCTCCAGGATTGGTCAAGCCGACCCGCATGGGCCGGCCCTTGGTTTATAGGAGGCGAAAGCCTGCTCCTTGAGATGCTGCCGGTTTAGGGGCCAGCTGCCATACCATGTGCTCATTGCTTAATGTGGAAGGGCAGTTTTAGGAAAGCAATTATGGAGAGATGGTCGGGTGCATATGTGGGGCCCATTACCTAAACATAAAAGAGGGATTTTAGGCAAGATGGGGGGCGGTTGAAGAGAGGGAGACGGTTTAGGCAAGTTTTGGAGGGGGCGGCTGGGCTCTGTTTAGTAGGAATTGATTGTAGGGAGGGACTGTTTTGTAATATGATTTATGTTGTAAGCTATAATTAGTCGGAGAGGCTAGGGTTTGGGGAGGTGGTTTTTTTTTAGTGAGGGAATTCTGTTGTGTGCTTTGTGCTTGGGCTCTAGCGGCGTCTAGAGAGTTTTGGGAGATATAGATCCTCCTCTTGAATAGATGATCGTTGTATCTTGCTGTTTTTCTTCTTTAATGTTACGTTTTTATTATGTTTTCTTGTGAAATGTGTGAGATTTGTCACTGACTTCGCATCCTTGGTATAATCTACTTGAAGTCTAGGAGTGTTTCATATCAGTCTATTGATTTATAGTCGGACCAATTTTTTTGGTCTTGCTTTTTTAGTTGTTTATTACTGCTTAGGGATTTATGCCTTAACTTCTATGTGCATTTATGGTTCATTGATACTAAAAATGGAGCTGTTGCAAAGAACAAAATGCCTTTTATGAGGTTGTATTGGTGCTTTTTAAGTCAGACTAGAGGGATGCAAAGAGATGGTTTTGGAGAGAATGAATACATTGGAAGCACACAAGTGATACAAGGGGACTAAATTGACCATTGCAAAGAACAAATGATGGATTGCACAAAATTTGTTTAGTTAAATATCGTTTAACTAAACTTGTTTAGGCAGGATTGACTGCAGATAAAAAATGCATAAGAATTTATCAATTCAACCCTAATTGACAAGGCTAATGATGATCTATTTCACGTTGCATCATGCAACCAAATTTCTTTTGTGCATATGCTTCATATATTAAGCTTATCATATATTTTTGAGAACGTTTTCTGACATTTGTTTCAGAGGGAAATAGATACCACGCAGTTCATGCAAACTGCGCCATGGCTGGGGCTGTTTATGGGAACTGATGGACAACTAAAAGAGGTTGATAGTGGCAATAGGCCTCTTGTCAGTTTGTTCAGATTAGCTAATACAGAGATTGTATCACATGCAACATGTCAAAATCCCAATTCCTTTAACATCATGTTAAAGCAGGCAGAAGCAGCTGGTAAGATTATTTATTTATTTTTATTTTTATTTTGTGTTTTAAACATCACTATTTACCACTAAAGTTAATATTTCAAATGAATGATATTTAGAGCTATTGAAACAACTATTACGTCAGGTTTTTTGGAGATCCGTTGACCTTTGTTAATGTAACTAAATTTGGTGTCACGACCCGGTTCGGAGGCTCGAATTAACGAGGTAGGAACAGACAGTCGGATGGTTTATATGCTTTCTACAATTACACATAACAGTAAATCTAAAATTCCTCAAATACTGAAGAGCCACTAACATAATTTTACATTTGAACATATACCATTTCTTATATGTTTTCATTTGAGCGTCGTCTTTTGCAGACGAATTTTTTTCATTCAAAATTTTTGCTTATCATGAAATTTACCTGAAAAATTTAGTTTAATAATTTGAGTTTACATGGTACAATCAATAGATAATCACCATTGTAACATAATCATTATACATAAAAAATGCATAATATTCATTTTGTTATTCTTTTTATATATTTGTGCATATATCAATTCATGTGGTATAGAACTTTATTTTACATCGGTCAAACAATGCATTCAATTTTTCTTTCAATTAACATTCATGCATTTTTCAGTTTTCTCATTTATTTCTTTTCCCTTTTCATTTAGTATAGGAGCATAGTCGAAAATTTGTACCAATGAAGATCCAACCATTTTTTTTTTTTTCATTTTCATATCCTTTTAATGTGCACGGGTACATTGTTTTCTTAGCCAGTACTATATGGGGTGAACTCCTGTAATTTGCATGCATATATATTTTCTCCTTTTTATTTATGCTTTCATTTACATATTATAATTTATTTCATTTATTTTATTATTCTTTACATATATATTTATATGTATTTTAAATAACATATATACTTTTAAACATATGCATTGTCAAATTCACTTTCTTTTTACCTTTACATGTGTTTCAAATTGATATATACATCTTTCACATATTCATATTGTGGGCTCCGAAAATTCCACGTTATGCTTCCCTGCCCTCTTTGCGCCATCGGTCTCTTTTCTTGTTTGTGTAATGAATGACGACAGAGAGTTTTAGCGAGCTTAGGTTTCGGGTGAATTTTCAGAAGGCAGATTGGGTTTTAAATAAGACACTACTCAGATATTTCGCCCTCATTTTACGATGACTTTATGATCTGAGTTCTAGTTTCCTATAGGCGCAAGCCCCTATAGTTAATTACCCCTCCCAATAATGAGAGAGAACTTTCGATTAAGGCTAGTTGTTAAAGAGGTCGCATAGGTTGTAAATCCATCGTATAATAGCAACAATTTTAGGGTTTGAATTTAATTTTATGATTTGGAATTTATCATCATGAACTTAAAACTGGTGGTGGGGGGAATGAGGACGAGCCCAATCAAGATCCCATGATTCTGTCGTCCCGAGTTGTTATATTCCTTGGTCTACATAGTCAGAGGAGGTAGTCGACCTGACCTGACAAAAAGCATCTTATCGGCAACCATAGGTTGCTTCGTCCTAGAATACCTTGTAGACATGGGGTGGTGTTTGTCTAAGGGGATAACTCTGAATTCACCTTAGTTGAAAGAGGGCTTTATGCCTATCGAATATACCTTATGATTTATTACTTAAGGATTTGAAGCCTTTATGGAACATACGGGCTTTGACCGTGATCATAATATAATCGTGTCATTTTGCGGCAAAACCACCCGATCAGATGGCATATGCCATGTCCTTACTGGCAAGAGATTGTTTGAGGATGAATCTTAGTGATATATCTGACAAGCATTCGCTCTTTATGAGCTGAGATTAATTTTAAATTTATCACTCTCGATAAATGGTTGCGGGAGGTGAATAAGTTAACACATTAAATGCAGCGGCTATGAAGTCGTTGAGTCGGTTTCGGCTTGTGGGCTCCGAAAATTCGACCCCGGCCTCCGCTCGCTCTTTCTTATTCGGGCAGGATTTCTGGGAGACGACTGCAAGCAGCGCCGAATCGACGCGATTTGCGGCAGAGTCTCGGCAGATTTCGTGGATCCGTCGGGTATGAGGTTTGTACAAGGATTTTCACTTTGCTTCTCCTCTCATCTTTGCTCTTTTGGGTTTGATCCGTAGGTCAACACGGCTATGGAGTCATCGATTGCAGATGGATGGCGTCCAGAGGTTGGAGGCCGACGGGATGATGAGCAAAGGGCGGAGGTGACGTTGGTTGTGCTTGTAAGTTTCGAATTCTCTTCCTCTTCATTCGCTGTGTGCGATTCTGAGAACGTGAGCATCCGAATGAGGGAGCTTGAGTGGTTTTGTGCGTGAGGGAGTTACATTCGGTTACCAGGGATCGTGGGTGGTTGAGCTCAGCCAACGGTTAGGTCGTGGGGTGGCCGGCAGTTAGAGTCAACAAATATACATTTATACTGTCATGATAATTGATATATATTCCTTCTGTCATAATAATTAAAATGTAAAATTTTCATCATCTCATACATTTGAATTGACATCATCTTGCACGTAACAACTCCAAATATAAGTAAAACAAATATATAAGACATTACTTTTAGAATTGAAATGAAAATAAAATAATGAAATTGTCATAAACAACTGTAGTTACCCACTTGATTACGGTCAGATCTTCCAAATCCTCAGTTCGTTGAATTAGTATTCCAATATTTATCTTATTTCAGCTATGAAAATCTCACTGTTCCAAATAACATTAAATTTCATTAATTATCGGTGAAAGGTTTACAAATTCAAAGCCGCAATGAATTTGATTTGACTAATATCCTTAAGAGTAACATTAAAGGCATCTGCTATGTTTACAAAATGTCAAAAGTTTTCAACTTTCCATATCTTCAACATAATTCACAATCTAATTCTCTGATAATAAAAATTATTACATCAACTAACGATTTCTTCCTTCCTCTTTGAAATTGTCCCCTTAGAAATTTAGATTTACCACAAAATTTCCTCTCTTTCTGCTTCACAATCATCTATTATTCATCAATTAGAGAAATGGAATTGATATCAGATTTGTCTTTTATTTGAAAGATCCCAGTGGTCGTAGTGTAGTCATCAATGGACGATATAAACCATCTCGCATTTGAGATATTATTCACCCTAGATTAGCTCTATATGTTACTATGGATTGTTACAAAATATTGTGAGGCTTATAAGGATGACTAGGATAGAAATTTTAAGCGTTTAAATAATTGATTAGTCTTGCACTAGAACCATTTCGGAGATAATAATTGATTAGTCTTGCACTAGAACCATTTCGGATTTATCTCGATGAAAAACGAGGGAAATAATTTTTTTAGGTATGTGATATTTGGATGACCATGGCAAAGTATCACAATATGATTATGCTATCATTGGAGGAAGATACATACTGAGCATATGTATTTGCATTTTTGGATTTCCTTTTTTATTTAGAATTGCACATACTAGCATTTTCCTTCACTTTGTCAATTTTTATCTGGGTCCCTATTTTGAAATTCACAATAAGAAGAAACTCAATGGTACAATTTATATTCTTGATAATTTTGCAAATTGATAATAAGTTGTAGAAATGCTTAAGAACTGAGATAACTGAGTTAGGAATTAGAGAGCTAGTGATATTGATATTCTCACTGCTACTTGCTTATGATGTTGCTCCATCCTCAATTTTAATAGTGTAGTCCTCTATGTTGCACGGATACTCTTATTTACGAGGCGTGCTGTATCGGATACGCGTCGGATACGGATACGCCTCCGATACGGCACGGATACGTGTCGGATAATGCCTTGCCGTGTCCGATTAAAATATTATTTAAATTTGACTGGACACGCGTATCGGATACGCGTGTCCTATTAAAAAAAAAAACACGGAGCCACGATTTACCCTTTTCTTTTCGACTTTCCACCGTTTCCGCTCAAAACACGGAGCAACATTTCAAAGAGCTAGGTTTTTCGTTTCCACACACGTGTTCATCTTCTTCGTTATAGTTGAAGGAGCGGCTCAATGATGCGAGCATAGAAGCAAACAAGATCATCCTTTGTCGACAAAGAGGCTTGACGACGCGAGCATTAAAGTCAATAGGATCATCCTTCGTCGACGAAGCGGCTCGACAACGCGAACAGTGAAGGCGACGTGAGCAGTGTAGGTTCGTTTTCTTCATCGTTCTTCGTTTTCTTAATCGTAGGCTCGGTATCGAAACTTGGTACCGATTGGTACCGAACATTACTGGAACTCGGTGTTGCTCGGTACTCGGTACCGAGCAGTATTGGAACTCGGTACTGCTTGGTATTGGAACTCGGTATTGCTCGGTACTACTCGATACCGAGCGGTATTGGAACTCAGTACTGCTCGATATTGGAACTCGGTACTGCTCGGTATTGGAACTCAGTATCGCTCGGTACTGTAACTTGGTATTGCTTGGTATTACTCGGAGGGGTACCGAATGGTACCAAGCGGCACCGATAAGCTAAAATATGCTCGGTATCACCGGTCAGGTCGAACCCCGCCAGGGGGCAGTGCCCCCTTGGACCCCCAGCAGAGTCGCAATATATCTACACTTTCACTTAAATTTTTGGTGACCAAGAGTCATTGCGTGATAGGTGGAGAATTGATCCGAAAATGTGGTGGATTATACATGGAGCTTCAGCACCTCTACTTCAAACAATCGCCATAAAATTGCTTGGCCAAGTTTCATCCTCATCCTGTTGTGAAAGAAATTGGAGCACATACTCATTCATCCAATCAATGAAGAGAAATAAAATTACTCCACAACGGGCTGAATATTTAGTTTACGTGCATACAAACCTTCGACTTCTCTCAAGGAAAACTCCAACTTATATGGAAGGAAACAACAGGATGTGGGATGTTGTTGGAGATGAATTTGAATCTCTTGAGGATATGGGAATATTAGAAATTGCTAATCTTTCACTTGATGAGCCTGAATTAGAAGCTATGATATTTATTGAAGATGATATAGAAACTCAAAGACAAACCACTGAAGAAGCTAATCCTATCATTCCTTCTATTGAATAGTTGAAATTTCATGTGTTGGGCAATTTATCTTCTTGTTTTTGTTGTTGTACTAGACATTTCAATACTTAATGCTTACTTTTATTTCAATTTTTTTGTCATTTCAAATATTACACTTTGATTACTTTATTAATTTTTATGTATTATTTATATATTATAATGCCGTATCCGCGCCGTATCCGTATCCTGTATTTTTAAGAATTGACGTGTCCCGTATCCGTATCGTGTCGTATCCGTATCGCCGTATCCGTATCGGTGCAACATAGGTAGTCCTATAAACACGAATGGATGGTTTAAAATAAGGTGATATCCTCTTTTATACAATCAGAGGTTCTAAAGTTCACGATTCAAGATTTTGGATTTTTGTTATATTAAAGACATTCAAAATCATATTATTTTTAGTAATCGCACCAATGATGATTTCTGATGCATAAGGTTTTAGTTTGAATTGAATAATCGGTGAATTGGATAAAGTTTTCTATATACTAATGTTGCCATGGGATCTTGATTCATTGCAAAAGGTGGCACCAAATTGGATTTCATACTAAGATCATTTCATGTTTAACCATCATCATCATTTAAACAGAAAAATTCTTAAAAGGATTAGGAATCCTTAAGAGTATAGAGATTTGGATACTAAGGAGCATATACCGGTTGTACAATGCTTATCAATTTTGCATTTATTAAATCATAATCAGTGTAATGGAAAAGATCGACCAATTTTCTTTTCCTAAGACATCATATTCCTAGACTCAGAAGTATCGATAAGGATTTAATGATACACTTAACCACTATCATTTAAGATTAATTTGAGTTATATATATATATATATATATATATATATATATATATATAAAGAGAGAGAGAGAGAGAGAGAGAGAGAGAGAGAGATACATAACAAAATAGTAGTTGTTAGACTACATATGGTAGGCCAATTAGTAGACTGCCAAGGTGGTGTATCATATAGTTGGCGGCATTTACATCCAATGGAGGAGGCACAAGAACTGTGAATTGCTATGGTGGCAGTGGGACAAACTAGCTGGTGTTGAGGCCTTGTTGGAGGCTAGATTCGTCGAATTAAATGCATAATTTGATGTGTTGTATTTTAGGATTTCCGCATATACACCGTAATATGATTATTTTTGTGTTAATAATCTAATTTGATGAGGTTTAGTCAGGGGAACAAGGACTTTGCAAACAAGTAAACAGTTCCTACTTTTAATTAACTAGACACCATTTGCTTTTAAATTAAAACCTGCTGAATATATAGGGATAGGCTCTGATCCATCATACTTCTGTATGAAAATACATTGAAGAATGATACTGACAAAATCAAATTTGTAAGTGGCGTTTCCACTAGCGTCGGTTTATAAGTTTTCCATGTTATCTATATGGAATCGTTTCTATTGTTTTCTAATAAAATATTTTGCAATTGCAATGCTAAATGTTCCTTTTAAATGTATGGCATGCCTTTCATAATATTATAACTTAATGAGATTGGATATTTTTATTTCTGATGAACTTTTATTGCTTCTTATAGATCTCATATATAAAAAGAATATTATATCCGCTAGTGTGCTTGAATATGCACTAGCCTTTACAAGTGCAGCATTGGATAAGCATTACAGCAAGCTGAGTGCAAATCCGAAGACAGGGTTTATTGACATAACCACTTCAAAGGATTTCTATCGGATATTTAGCGGTCTACAGTTTGTGAGTATACATGATTTCCCTTTGGATAATATAATTTAAAATTTCATATGTTGTTGATGATAGAAATATACTTTGAATGATGAGGAACCCAATTTTTTAAGAGACAAGCACAGGGCTTCATATATAAAGTATTGTCAATATGCTCCTAAAATCTTGGGTGATTATCTTTAGAGGCTTTATTTACGTGAAGGTCTACTTTTGCACTACTTTTCATCCTCATCCTGTCTTTCTTCTTCCCATTATATTTTCCCATCTGTTTTTTTTTTCCGTAGTAAAACATTCTTAGCCTACTGCTTTTAGTCTATTGCAATGGTTCTTGACTGCATGCCCTGACCAGTGTGCCAGTAATGGTGTGGTGGAAAACTAAAACAATTCTTGGGTGCTTTTATGTTGTATTTTGAAATTTTGAGACTCAAACCCTTTAGGTCACTATCATTTGTTGATATAAGTTGGAAATATTCTATAACTCTCTAAGTTGATTATACAGCCTTAATTTAAATTTTCTCACTTTTATTCTTACTTTGTATCACTTCAACATTTGTCTCCTCTGACAAGTGGCTGCAAATATGGTGATTTGTGTTAATTTGCACTTTTTCGGTTATATAATATGGATATATTTAGGTATATATAGTCACTTGTCTTCTGAGCATAGGAGTTTCCTACATATTTGAAATTTACCATATCAATTTACCTTGTTGGTATCTGATCTTGTAAATGTTCTGCCTTGTTTCTTTCTATATTGTAAATTGTCTATTTTATTCCTTCATATCGTACTAAAAGGGGCATACCAATTTCTTAATATTCTACTAATGGCTAAAACTAGCTTAGAGGAAGAAAAAAGTGTCAAATGAATTGTTAGGCTACTGCAAGACCAGATAGTCTTCTCAACGCTAGCCTACAAACAGTTTCTTGTTTATTTCATTCATAAGGATAAATTAATTACAAAAATAAAAAAGCAATTTGCTTATGTAGCCAAGACAGAAATTCTCTAGCTGGATTTGATGTTTTATTTGAGAGTAACTCTTAAATTCTGAGAATTGAAGAGGGAAAAAGGCTTAATTTTTATTGCAAAAAACTATCCCTACTTATAGATCAATATAAGATATATCAATAAAGAAATAAATAGTTACAGAATCATGCATAATTGTCCTAATATAATCCTTCCTAAATCAGCCACCCAAATATGGAAGGAGATCGGTATGATCCAAGTGAGCCTCCACAAATCATCATTTTGGCCGTGGAATCAAGGGTTAAGGGATGGCTGACATTTAACCCTCCCCCTCAAACTGGGGAATACATATATGTCATTCCCAGCTTCCTAATCATCCCAGAATGATAGAGTTATCAATTCCCTTGGTAAGAATGTTTTAAGCTAATCTTTTGATGAGACATGATAGATAAATATAAGACCATTGTCCAATTTTTCTTTATAAAATGTATGTCCATTTCTATATGTTTGGTTTTGACATGTTGAACCAGATTGTGAGTTATGTTAATTGTTGATTTATTATCACAGTGTAGCTTCATGGGTCATTCCTATTAGATCATTAGGTCTTTTGGAATCATCCTGCTCCATAGTAGTTCACATATTCCTAATGTCATAGCTTTGAACTCTATTTCTACACTAGACCTTGTCACCAAATTTTGTTTCTTGCTCCTCCATGTATTAGGGCTTCCTTTAAGGAATGTGCAGTACCATGAGGTAGATTATCTATCTACTGGTGATCCTGCATAATCTGCATTAGTAAGGTAGTGCAGTATTCTGTCTGTTGCTATCAAGATCTTTCCTCTTTCGCCGTTCTTGGTTTTGTCGATTGAATCCGTTCTCTCTTCTATTAAATCAACAAAAATTGAACTTCCTTGCTTTAATGGATTTGACGTAGAAACATGAAACTTTAAATCATAGGAATACTTCCATTTTTACAACACTCATTCCTTTCATCTTGATGGACCTACGACTACTTGGTACCAAGGTTTATGCATGAAAGCTCATTCTGCTTCTATTTCGTCTTTCGACCTTGAGGACAAGTTTATTTTTCATGATGATATGAGTGTTAAGCAATAATATATTCTTTTGTTTTTAAAGATTTTTTTATTATTATTTAAATGAAAAAGTAATTAATTAGATTTTTTGTTTCAAATATAATACAACAAAAGTGTTAAGAATATGTGAATAATTTAGAAAATCGGCATAAAGATAATAAGATATTTAAAGTTTATCATAGAATAAAGAAATAAATCTTTCAAAGATTGAAAACACTACAAGAACGGGTTGGCTATAACAACTCGCGGTTCAATTTATTTCAGCATTAAGCCGATCCCAAACTCATTGCATATTCTTTTATTTTACTTATTTTATTTGTTGTTATTTTAATTTTTTAAAATATTTTTTCATTATTTTCTTTATTAATCAACTTAAATTTTAGTTGTTTCAATCTGACCTTATAAAAATTTCGTCCACAAAATTTAAAATTTAACAGTAGATGTTATACCTCACTTGTAGAGTTGTGGATAAAATTCATTCATTTTTTATCCTTTTCTAATGTCGCTCGTTCTGTACCATGTTTCCATAAAACAAATACAAGCAGAATTTCTCTGTTTTGTAGTTGCTTCACATCATATTACAATAGTTTATTCTTGTTGTTCTACATGTATATGATCAGGTTGAATAATAACTTTGTTGAACTCTTCAGCAAGTAGATGTGAAAAACATTATGCACTCCTTACATGTGTTCTGTTAAAATTAGTTAATAAGTTTTTTTGTTTCTCTCTCTTTTCATAATCTATTAAGGGCCGTTATATTGTGTACTATCTGTGTTTCAAACTATAGACTTAGTACTCTATATAATCTTAAGATTTCATCCGCATGAAAATTTTCCAACAGAAAAAATACAAATTTTGTTATCTATCAATGATAACCCTTACGGCATCATGTCCCTGCCTTGATCTTGGTAGCCCACCAATAAAATCCATTACAATTTCATTACACTTATATTCTGCTATGATGCACCGACACTTCGTTTTAAGAGGGTATGCAGTGTCGGACACGGACACGCGTCCGACACGGCGAGAACACGTGTCGAACACGTGTCGAACACGTCATTAGCGTGTCCCATTTAAAAACCTGAAAAATTAAATCGGACATGCGTGTCTGGCTATTGTATAAATATAAAATTCTAATCCCGCTATTTCATATTAGTCGGTTCATGCCCGAGTTTTCATCTTCGCCTTAATCCCGTATTCCTATTCGTATTTGTGGTCTTCTCGAGCAATTGAGGCGAGCAGCGGTCGGCTGGAGATCGCACTCTTGGTCTTCCCTTTCGGCTGTAAGCAACAAACCATCTTTAGTTTTAACGCGCAGCCGAGGGAAGTCGACGCCAAACTGTAGAAAATTTTTCAAACCTGTAAGTTGATTTCACCATTTTTTCTCCATTCGTCATTTTTCTTTATTTATCAATGATTATGTATATTTGTGATCGGAAGAGCATATTTTTTTAAAGTATTTTATTATTTTTAGATTAAAATTACTCTTACAAAAAAATTTGTTTATTTAATGCGTTTTCACTGCGCTTTCACTGCGCTTTTACTACGTTTTTTCTGCGCTTTTACTCTTACAATAAATTTTTTTAAATTATCTTTAAATTTCTTGGTAAATAAATAAATAATTTTATATGCTTTGTATTATTTGAAGGTATTCAAGTAAAAAATGACTTTAAGAAGACCCTCAACGTGTCTCACCACAAAAAGATTTAGAAGTGTTAAATATGAGAAAGATATGCTTGAAACAATATTTCGCAAATGAGGAGGAGAGAAGAAAAATTAATATAGAACTTGCAAAGTTCTTTGGATATTTAGAGGATTTTGATGATCAAGAATCTTTATTTGATAGATGGAGGATGGATCCAAAAATGTGGTGGTTGATTCATGGAGCTTCAGCACCGCTTCTTCAAATCATAGCAATAAAACTTTTGGTCAAGTATTATCATCTTCCTTAGGGGTGTCAATATTTGACACGACACGAAAACCCGCGGGTCCGGGTTCGGTTTTCCGACCCGTTTGTCTACCCGGGTCGGGTTAGGGTCGACCCGTTTGAACCCGGGTCAGTTCCAGGTTCGACCCGAACCCGACCCGTGACCCGAAATTGACACCTCTGATCTTCCTATTGTGAGAGAAATTGGAGCACATACTCATTTATTCAATCAGTAAAGAGAAATAAAATAACTCCATAATTGGCTGAAGATTTAGTTTGTGCATACAAATCTTCATCTTCTATCAAGGAAAACCTCACTTTATATGACAGGTGATAATAAGATGTGGGATGTTGCTGGAGATGGATTTGACTGCCTTGATGATATGGGATTATTGGATGTTGCAAATCTTTCTCTAGATGAACCAGAATTGGAAGCAATGATATTCAATGATGATGATATTGAAGGCCAACCTGAATATAATTTTATCATTCCCTCTATTGAGTAGTTGGACTTTCATGTTGTACTAAATGATTTTTTGCTTATATTTTTGTTATTATACTAGACATTTTGTACTAAACATCTTTATATTATAAGCTAAACAAGTTATCATTACTTTGATTTATTATTACTTGTCATTTTTAATATAATGTTACATTAATTTCTATATATTATATTAAAAAATTATTATGTCGTGTCCATGCCCCACCCGTGTCTTATATTTTTAAAAAATGCCGTTTCCGTGTCCGTGTCATGTCGTGTCCGTGTCGGTGCTTCATAGATATTCTGGTATCTGTAAGAGTTTATAACCCCACTTGACTGTTGGTGTTTAGCTGTAACCATTTGACAAGATACTTAATAATGAATTATTGCTACAGCCTTAGCAACCAAAATAGTCTTTGAAATTCTTGGTACAACTTGTTATTTCATGGATGAATAGAATAGCTTCGGCAATGTGTTGGTTATTTAACCTATTTTTTTATATCATGAATATTTGAAACACAAACTTAGCCTTTATGCCTCAATAATTCCTCCCTATCAATCTCATACTCCTCTAGATTACCTTACTTTATCAGTTTTTAAATCTTCAAAAAATTAACAGCTTCTGATAATGCATCACGTGTTCTATTTATCAAAATAGATTAGATTATCATCTGGTTTCATATAATGAAATTTTTATTCGCATAATTAACTAAATTTCTCCTATTGAGTATTTAATACACGCGCACCTTGCGTGTTCCTCTGCTCGGTTGTTCATTTGCTCTGTCACGACTCGACCCGGCTAGCTCGATAATAACGGGGCGGGAATAGTCGGTCGTACGGAAACATCATAACATAATCATTATCATATAAACTTTTCTGAAATAAAGTATGAATATCCTCAACACATAATATAAGAAAGAGCCACTAATAAAACATCAAACTCAATTGTGTTCCAAACTTTCTTCTCACACAACTACTAAAAACTTTTAAACCACAATTACATAAACTCCAAATCACTGTTCATACACAAGTACAAACTCAAATCAAACTCAAATTGAAAACATAAAAAGGAACATTTCTTCCTAAGGTCCCCTACGACGATAAGTGTAAGGTCGTCGTGCAGCAGCCATCACTTCTCTCCTGAAAAACATTTTTAAACGTAGAATGAGCCAACGCTCGGCATGTAGTTCATGTCTTTAAATAAAAATTTACATAAAATCAAAATAAAATAGTTTTTCGTATGAAAATATGAAAGGATCGTCAAACTTGCATAATTTCGTATCAGTACATAAGAGAAATATTTTTCATAACTTTTTCCTCAATGTAATACCTTTCATTTACCTTTTCCTTAAAAATAAATTTTCATAATTTGAAGAAAACATATAGGAATCATGTTATGCATAATGTCTTTGATAACAACCGTCTCGGATGTACCCATAATTTTGTACTGATCAGGTACAATCAAATTTTGGTCATTTCCTTTACCATTAGCTCTATGAGCCTCCTTTACCATTGGCTCTACGAGCCTCCTTTACCATTTTGGACACTCCGCATCAGCATGCACATTCCTTTAATATGTTATCTTTCATTTATATGCGTATTGAAAAACAAGTGTGCAAATCATGTTCAAAACATAAAAACATTTCTTCTAAACTTAAGAATGAAAGTTTCTTAAATTCATAAAATAAAAGACTTGAATATACATAATGCCAAAAAATGTAAATTTATAATTCATGTAACATGAAACTTTTCAACCATTTGCATTGAATAATAGAACGAAACAAAATCATGAAATTTTTATCAAAAACATAAATACCTACCTCAAACCAAGTACGGTATGTCGCTTCGACAAAGTTCTTTCACTTTAAAGATCACAACCTAAAATAATTACAAAAGAGACGTGTCATAAATTTAATAATCTAATTCCTAAGTCTCAATCCTTCATTTCCCCTTAACAAATCCCTACGACAGTTAATGAATTTTTTAATTAAATAAACTTTAATTTTCGAATTTAATTAAATTTAAATTTTTGGAAAATCATAAATCTTAAATTTCATCAAAATATTGTTTCAAAATTAATCCTTAACATATATTTATAATTATCTAATTTATTTTCGGATTAAATAATTTAGGAAATTAGTGAAAATGAGATTTTCATCCAAAATCAAAATTTTTGCTTTAAAACCATTCCTAAGGACCTTAGAAATCATTTTCGTAAAGGTGTCTTACGAAATTAAATTTTAGGTCAAAAATCCTAATTTATAAATTTTCAAAAACTCCTCCAAAAATATCATTTCTACCATTAAAATGTTCTCCTAATCGTTCCTTATTAATTTCTTAAAGAAATTTTAGGAGAAAAACATTTTCTAGCAAAAACCTAATTTTTCAATCTCAAATAACTTGAGATTTAGAAAGATTCGTTTTAAAATAATCGTACCTGAATGTTCCTCTCGCGTCCTCTTCGATTTGGACTTAATTTCTCGTCGAAAGATTGTCGCCGGAAAGGAACCCATTGTTGCCAAGCCGTCCGCTCGTCCGCTCTTTACTCGCTCGGTTTGGCCGAATGAAAGTGGGGGGGGGGGTTTGCCTGTTAAGGGAAAAGGAAATGCCTAAAGACTAATTTGCGCTTAACTCATTTTGGCACTAATACCTAGTAGGGGCAAAAATGGCATTTATGGGACTAAATCAATTTTAATTCCTAAAATATGCAAAATTAGGTATGGGTTATATATATCCAAAACGATCAGAATTTTGCATAGGATTTTCTAAAATTATATCCGTCAAAATCCGACAACCTTGAATATTTTTCACTTAAAACTCGTCGCGGCGCTTTGAAAAGCGTGCAAGATCTAAAACGACATTTTCGTTTTTTACATGCTCTCTCTCTCTCTCTCTCTCTCTCTCACTCTTATCCTTTTTCTCACTGCCACTATCCATCTTTTCTTCTTGCTACCATAAGCAATCAGGTATGTGCGATTGGACTAAATTATGCAACATCTATATGGATAGGTGTTGCATAAAGTAAAACTTCAGTTATTGATTTTTGTTTATATATAAAAATATCAAAATAGTCCTTAAACTATTTGTGCGTGCTCGACTTAATCTCAGAGTACCACTTTGCTCCAATTTAGTCCATCGATTATACAAAATTGCTTCTTATGTTGTCATTGTGATATAAAATGTTCCTAATTTAGTCCATTGAATATATATATAAAATTGATCTCAATTTAATCGTGAAGGGATTATTTTTGATCGATTCTATATAGTCGAGGGATTATATGTGCAACGTGATACTCTATGATTAAATTGGTCATACATGAATAGTCAAAGACTATTTTGAAGTTTACCCTTATCTTTTTTATAGTACCATTATCCAGTGGCATAATTTTCAATCGAAAGTAAAAAATTTCCTTCTCTTTCCAGGAATACTTGGAGGAGACTGTTCTCGAATCTTCTAGAAGGCATGATTCATGGGGTGACTCGGTAGCATGGGCTGGTTGCACTATCATCTATTTGCTTGGCCAACAACTGCACTTTGAACTTTTTGATTTTTCATATCAATTCCTCAACATCGCTGAAGTAGAAAATGCAGCAATAGCCCACACTCTATCTTTCGACCGTTCCAAGAATTCGAATTTCTTGCAGGTAATAACTTTATCTTTTTATTGGCACTATTACAGTTCAGTAAAGGATTAAATTTCAAAATAGTCCCCTAATTATTTGTATATGATCGTTTTAGGCTTCGTTTGGGACGGCTTTTTTATTGCTTTCTAAAACGGAGTTTTAGTACAAATTTTTTTAATTTTGTACTAAAACTCCGTTTTAGAAAGCAATAAAAAAGCCGTCCCAAACGAAGCCTTAGTCTCATAGTATAATGTTGCTCCAATTTAACCCTCCGGTCTATACAAAATAGTCTCTTTAGTACTAAATTGGGATCAATTTTATAAACTCGAGGGGTTACATTGGATTAATTATTCTGTGCATCTCCGGACGGCGTCCGGAGATGAAAGAGAGCGTGTCACGTCACCTTTTTTGTTGTGTACCAGGTGAGTGGCACACTCTCTTTCGTCTCCCGACGGTCCGGTGTCCGCACAGAATAATTTCTTGTTACATTGGGATCAATTTTATTTCTCAATTACAACACGTGTGATTATTTTAGATCAATTTGTATAGTCAAGAGATTAAAATGGAGCAAGATGAATAATCTCCGAAATTTTTTGAGATTTTTTCTGGTTAAGTATATACTGATAACTTATAAAGATTGAACTATTTACTTGATGGAAAGGGATATGAGATTCTACTGGAAGCCATGAGGAAGGCCAGAAGGCTGAACAATCATGTATTCTCCATGCTAAGAGCTCGTTGCCCACTTGAGGACAAGGTAGCCTGCGCAATAAAGCATAGTGGAGCACCACAGCATCGAATTACATTTGTTAACACGCTCTCTGCCTTCGAGACTTTGCCACAGAAAGAAGCCTGATATGGCTTCAATCTTTGTTGTTGATAGAGAAGATTTTAGAAAGATATTCTGATTTGTTCTTATGACTACAAATGAACAAGTTTAGTTACTCAAATATTAACTGTCTTTAATTTTGAAATTATTGCATGTCTTTATTCTGTGTTTTATATTTCATAATATGTTTTTGTTTAGTTTTTTATAAAGTATTATTATTATTATAAAAATTATATTTTGTTTGAATAAAATTAATATTTATTATATATCTTATTCAATTATTTATTCACTCTTGGTCATATATTGAACCTTAAACCTCTTCTTTTTATCAGCTTCCATAATCTTATATATATATATATATATAGAATGAGTAATCCTTTTTTGGTTTTGTTTGGGACAACTTTTTTATTATTTTTTAAAATAAATTTTTAGCATAAATTTTTTTTGAAAGTAGATGAGTGACTTGCCTTCAAGTATAATTTTAGGCTTTATTTGGGATAGTTTTTTTATTGCTTTCAAAATAAAATTTTTAATATATAAATTTTTTTTTTGAAAGTAGAAAAAAATAGGTATAAAAATTTATCCCAAATAAAGCAACTTAATTCTCACTCATTTAGCATTATGATTTATTTATTGTTTTCTAAAGTAATTTTTTAGTATAAAAATTTTTTGAGAGTAGATGAGTGACTTGCCTTCAAATATAAGCTTTAGACTTTATTTTGGATATTTTTTTATTGCTTTTTAAATTAATTTTTTAGTATAATTTTTTTTTTCAAAGTAGCAAAAATGTAGTTATAAAAATTTATACCAAATAAACCCTTTACCAAACTTAATTCACCTTCATTTAGCTTTATGAGTTATTTATGTTTCATTTGTAGTTAATATTGCCCTATTTTTATTCAGGATCTTTTAATATTTTTTAATCTTAATTTTTATTTTATGTTTCTAAGAAAAAAAAATTAATTAAGTATTAATTTTTCATCCAGACGAATAATTGTTTTTGAAAAATCTACTTAATTTACTCTTATTTATTTTAAAAATAAAAACATTTGTTTAATGTCAGTATAATAATAGTTTAAATATTAGAATAAAATTAAATTAATATTAAATTATTTTCAATTAAAAGTAAATAAATATGTAAATGTTGGAAGACTTCAGGTCTTTATATATATCATCCAAAAGTGTAACTCTTTTTCCAACAATTGCAGTATCTTCCACATCTCTAGAAGATAAGAATCAGTCAAGCGAGAAAAGCAAGCAGACTGAATTATTGAAAGGGCCTTCACAACTATAAATAGAGAATCCTTTCTATAGAAACACACAACTAAGTACTTCACTAGCATTTGCAAAATTCTAATGAATATGATGAGTGCAAGTATCTCAAAGAAGCTCATAATGCTTGCTCTCTTCTTCTCATCTCTTGCTCTCATGATCTCTTGGTCTATGGCTGAGCTCGAGAAATCAACCCTATCCAAGAAGATCGAATATCCATCTACAGACTCAGACAATCCAACAGTTCCTCAGCTTTATCATGCAGGTCAGCCATATGAATATAATACATATCCTCCTCTCCCTCAACCTGAATATTCAAATTTCAACCAAAAGAAACATCTTTCTGATCAGCCTGTTTATCGAGCTCTCAACCCAAACAAACCAGCACTGCCTCAACCTTACCATCTAGGGGAACCGTATAGAAGGGGCTGCAATTCAAATTTATATTGCCGCCCACCTTCTACGAAGTAATTTATTTATGTATTTGTGGTGGCTTTTAATTAGAGCATAAATAATGAAGGATGTAGCCATATTGTTCCACTTCTGATATTCATATAGGTTAACCCTTGTTATTATAAATCATGAATATTTATGTTGGTCATGTTGTATGCTTCAAACATGTAAACTATTATAGTAGTTTGTATTGCTTTTCATAAATTATAGCGTGTATTGTGTTAGCTTAATTTACTTTCTTGCTTAATACTATGTAATTCTCCTTCTTAGTTGAATAAATGCAGAGAAGCTTGCAGGTTAGTACAGTACAAATATTATAAACTTTAGTTGTTATATAATTTAATATTTCTTATCTTATGTAGACAAATATTAATATACTACAAATGAAAGGTATTAATGATATCGATCAAAGAACATAAACAAGTTCATCAACACCTGAAGTCATTTAGACATCATTAAAATAAGAACAATGCTGGCATATGTCTGTTGTGATAGCTTATTACTTGAATTAAATCTATAAGTTAAACAATTTGGTCTTGTCAGGTTTCATTGAAAGTTCTAAAACATAACTAATTTAGGTTTCATTTGGGACACTTCTTAATGTTTATTTTTCAAATAGCAACCATAATTTATGTTTGACCACTGCTTTTTCACCGCTTCCAAAAGATTTTTGTATTAGAAAGTTTCCATGTATAACAACTTTAAAAGGTTACTTTCTCTGTAACAGTTTTGTAAAGCAGTAAGAATGTTGTCACAATCGAAGCCTAAGGCTTCGTTTGGTTTATTTGCCATTTCGGTTTCAAAAACATCAATATGAGAAATGGAGTTTTTTAAACGGAGAAGCTAATACATAATGCTTCTCAAAACAGTAGAAAAATAGAGTTTCTGAAAAAGTATGCCTCACGTCCAAACATGTTCCGTCAACTAAGTTTTCCGTTTCAAACCGAAAAATGGAGGAGAAACGGGGAACCAAACGAGCCCTAAGTGTTTGACTTTTAATGGTTTTTTAATAGTCATATTGAGGTTGAGATTAGTATTGACACAAGATTGTAAGAAAGACAATGAAAAGATTATGAAGAAATTATGGTTTGGAAAATATTTATGAAAATAGGCTTCATTTAAATTAACTTTTCTTTTTATAATGGAAAAAAAATGGAAATCAAGTTGCTGCTATTTATGCTGAAAAATGAATAAATTTTCCTATATCTCAATCATATAGATCTTTATCCTTCACTCTTACCCTAGCTATCTCTTGTTTCTGCCACATTACAGAACCGTTGTTCCCATAATTCTTCACCATCATCAGCCCTTGCCACCATAGATCTTCTCAACCATGTTTGTGCCCAATGCCCTAGTTCCATGCTAGCATTAACACATCTTGCATATCTTGTTCTTTGTGGACGTTGTTGCAGCCTTTTCTTTTGTCGATTGTCTCCATATACATTATAGGGTATTAATTATATGTGCTTTCTCTAATTGTTCTTTGAAGTTTGCAATTTCATAAAATCATTACGATGGATATAATTGCAATTTGCAAAACTTATTATTTTTATATCTACACTACCCAAAAAATTTAAGAGAAAATTTTTATTGTTAAAGAAAAATAATATTTATATTATGACGAAGTTGGTTTGCAAATTAGACTTATAACTCCTAAAATACTATTTGCTTGAGTCAAATATGAGCTAATATGGGCTATTACAATTTTTATCTCCTTTTAGTCCTATGTTACCTTATGTAACTACAATCATTCCTAAGGGTTTAGTAATGATTATGACTGACAAACAAACTTCTAGGGAGATTAGTGAAACAATATATAGCCACATCGATATACTCTATAACATTGACATGCTATTTGTGAGTTCCATCAATAACACCAATGTCCTTGACTACTGCAATCTAAGTGCATACCTAAATGACCTTTCTCTTAGGCCTTTGGTTAGAGCCACTTGTGGATTGCTAGTCGTAAGTTCTTGTTCTTTAACTTGTTTCGCTAAAACTTAATAATTTTGTTTCTCAAGGTCTTGTTCGGAGCCTAGCTCATCTTCAAGAGAGCTCATAAGTTCTTAACATGCTTCTGGACACTTATGAACATCCTTTTGAACTAGCTAAAGGATGTGATATTACCCAATGGTAGGCATGAGAACCATCGAAGGATCAACCCCTTAAAGAAGATAAAGAATAACTAATAATTCTTTGCATCATTGATGCCTATTAGTGATGTTATTGTCTTAAAGTATGTGCATGGTAGGGGAATTCAATCTTCCTCATTATTATTCTAGGTGGGGTATCTCAAATCTTAACAACTGCCTTGCTTCCAAAATCTTCATGGAGAACACATTGGTCGGTCTTAGCTTCCTTCTCCTTACTCACCTTGGTGGAGGAGTGGATTCTTTATTAATTGTGTAGTATAGAATTTTTTCACCCTCTTTAGATCATCATGTCTGAGGATCATTCTATTGTGTTTACATTTGGATCTTCCCAATACTCCTTGGATCATTCTTATAAATTTTTCCTCTATCTCCTCAAATGAAGGTGGATTGGGAAGTTTTGGCTTTCCATGTTCAATGATGTTCTTGGTCATGTTGTCTTGCTTTATATAGTGTGAAAATTTTGGTCACTAGTATCAATCATGCTCACCATGCCTAAGAGAATCTTGGTCAAAATTTTTAAAAGGGTGACGCCTTAACCCTATTGCTGAGTATAGCTAAGTAGACAAGGCAAAGGAGGAGAAGAATGAGTGGGCCAGTGAGGGAAAGATCTTTGGAATCAGCTACTCTATATGAATAGTAAAAATAACATACTATGTCATAATCATACTAATATGTTAAATATGCTTTTCAACCCCTTATTTATAGATTTGGGAAGGATATAGAAGAGGCTATGTGTAATGAACAATGTAGTGGCTGCTCATAGATACCTGCAACTAATGTGGCATTTATTGCCTGTGGCAAGTACCCATGAAAACTACTTTTGATTAATGCGTCTCGGGTGAGTGGCCTGAGCAAGTTCTCTTAAGTGAATACCTTAAATGAGTGGCTTTTTGCATGTTCCATTGAGTTGGGGACCTAGCATGACAAATGAGGCCATCACTATACGATTAGTAGACATAAATCTCATGTAGTTTGGAAAAGAGTCTCACTAAGAGAGGCTAGTTGCCAGAGCTATGTCGAGTCTTTCTTTAAGATTACTTCTCATAAGAAATGTAATTCCATAGGTTGTGATGTGTTAAGGAAACTTCCTCCCTCCGTTAAACTTTTCTAATGTTCTTCCATTGGTAAAGACTCTCTAAGTAGAGCTTCATTAGGGCTAGTGCCTTCTCTTGTTGAATATTATTGGGAAAGGTTCTCCTATGGATAGAGTATGTTTTAGATTAGTGCATCTCTTTGCCGAGCTCCTCTGAGACGAACATGGCTGGCCCCTGCGAGTTGCCTATGATTGCATTT